AAGTACATCTTCATTTACTAAAGTATGCTTTATTAAGCAGGGTATTAATATTAAGCAAATGATAAATTACTTTGTTGCTAATAAGCCATCAATAGGAATGAATGAGCCAAGTGAGGAAGAGTTCTCTGGCAATAAGATTGAAGGAACAAGAGCTGAAGAGAATAAATGCTGTGATGTGGAACATGCTTCAGGTGAAAATGCAGAATGCTACTTCCAGTGACACTCAAACTGATGCCTCAATTTTCTTCTTGCATAACCAATTAAAGTCTGGAACCCAGAAGAAGCCGAATACGTCCAAGAGTAATCCTTACTCTCAAACTATCACCTGCCAAATCAATCTGTGGTAGGAAGCCCTGAATGTGACAGTACTCTGCCTTTAGACCAACGTTAAAAGATGAAGAAAGGAGGGGATTAGATCAGTTGGTGAGACTTTTTGATTCTTTGGCCACTTAGCCCTAATTAACAGAGAGATAGTTTACTTTAAATTATTTCCTTGCTATCCTTGTTTCTCTATCTAACTCAGTGAGACACAATCCCAGCCCCAAATTTCTTACAATTAACACAATTTACTTATGCAGCTAGAAAAATATATCTTAGAATATTAATAAAATTCATAACTTCATAGTATGATGAAAATGGTCTTTGAGACTACTGCCTACCCTCCATTTAATCCAGGGGTTTATCTTTGGCCCTATTGAAATTTTTATATATGTGATTTTTTTTTTTCTTTTCTGTGCTGTACCACTGAGCCACATCTCTATTCTGGTCCTATTGGTATTTCATCAATTAAACAACAACAACAACAAAAATCTAGCACTAAGTAGGTAATTAGCAGACAATTAACTGTTATTTTTATTATATGCCAAGCTGTGTATAAAGGCTAGAGCCACAAGAATTAACGGATCTAATCCCTGTCTGTGAGGAACTCATGATCTAGCAAGGGGAAAAAATCTATTACAGATCCTATTGCAATATTATATATGCTTGAAAGAAGTAACAAAGCCTACAACATTTAACTTTTGAAACAGAGTGTTTTCCACTTTCAAGGACAATCTTAGTAAAAGGTAAAAGCATTACTTAAAACTCTGAAAACAGCCAGGTGTGGTGGTGCACTCCTGTAATCCCAGCTATTTAGGAGGCTGAGACAGGAGAAATGCAAGTTCCAATCCAGCCTCAGCAATTTAGCTCAAAATAAAAAGTAAAGGGGCTGGAGTTGTGGCTCAGTGGCAGAGCACTTGCCTCGCACATGTGAGGCACTGGGTTTGATCCTCAGCACCATATAAAAATGAATAAACAAAAGAAAGATATTGCATCCATCTATAAACTAAAAAATATTTTAAAAAATAAATAAAAAATAAAAGTAAAAAGTAAAAAGGGCTGGGAATGTGGCTTAGTGGTAAAGTACCCCTGGGTTAAATTGCCAGTACAAAAAACAAAACAAAACAAAAAACAACAACAACAAAAAATACTCCGAAAACAATTTTAGGTGCTATTATTCCTTCTCAATCAACTGCAGAATTCAATTGTAGAATTCAATGTATAAGCTAACTTATGTTTCTAAACAATGTCACAGGATTTTGTTGCTGTTTTGTTTTATGTTACATTTTGTGGTGCTGGGGATTAAACCCAGCTTTTTGCACCCATGAGCTACATTTCTAGCTAATTTTTAGCAGTTTTAAAAGTGTTTTCTAAACTGGGCAGAGTGGCATACCCCTATATTCCCAGCTACTGGGGAGGCTGAGGCAGGAGGATGGGAATTCAAGGCCAGACTGGAGGATGGAAAGGATGGGAATGTAGCTCAGTGGTAGAGTGCTCCTGGATAATCCCAGTAGCTAAGTTAAAAAAAAAATGAATAAAAGTGCTTTTTATATATGTCATCATAACAATGCAAAGAGGTAAGCAAGGCAAATAGTTCTCATTTTACAGAAAAGTACACTAAGGCTTGTTCTAATTGCTAGTAAATTCAGAATCTGATTCGGGTGGTTTAATTCTTTATCATAATGCTTTTGTAGTACACATAAAGTAGTAGACATTAGAGCTTCCAGTTATACCAGTCCAGGTGCATATACTTTATATACACAGAATACTCAATGTTTCAATACTGGAATGGCCATATATCTGGATAACAAAAAATATTAGGTATTTGCAGTCAAGGAATAGAGAATAAGCACAAATGTGAGCAATTTGCAGAGACAAGTGAATGCTATCATCAGTGTCCAAAATAAAAATTGAAGGAATTAAGAGAAGACTGTTGGGCTGGGTTGTGGCTCAGTGGTAGAGTGCTTGCCTGGCACTGGGTTCGATTCTCAGCACCACATAAAAATAAATAAATGAAGTATAAATTTTTTTAAAAAGAGGAGAATATCTGTCTATCTCTCTTTTTGGTACTGGAGACTGAACCGAGGGATACTTTACCACTGAGCTACATTCCCTGCCACTTTTTATTTTTTTATTTCGAGACAGGGTCTCACTAAGTTGGTGAGGATCTCATTAAATTGTTGAGGTTGGCCTCGAACCAATCCACCTGCCTCAACCTATGTCTCTCTCTCTCTTTTTTTTTTTTTAAAGAGAGAGTGAGAGAGAGAGGGGGACAGAGAGAGAGAGAGAGAATTTTAATATTTATTTATTTTTTCTTAGTTCTCAGCGGACACTACATCTTTGTTTGTATGTGGTGTTGAGGATCAAACCCGGGTCGCATGCACGCCAGGCAAGCGCACTACCACTTGAGCCACATCCCCAGCAACCTATGTCTCTTATTTGCCAGAGACTTAACATCTTAATTTACAAAGTATGTTGTAGTAATTATTTCCTGTTCTAATCTTGATTCAATGGTATTATTTGGAATACATATTCAACAAAAGTGTATTAAGCTAACATACAGGAACTTAATACAGTTCTGGGGAAACATCACACCGCCAAAACAGATTTTTGAGTTTGCAGATGTTTAATAAGATTCCTATGAAATGTTGTTAGATTTTTGAGCATCAAATACTGTCCACACATTTGCAAATAATAAATGGAAATTTTTTATAAAAGAATATTGAAATGACTTAGTATTCAGGGAGAAAATATGTTATAAGTATTTCCAACAGTGAGAATTTAAGATCTAGCTTATCCTGAATTTGATAATTGTTATGATGTTCTAGCATGCATAATTAATATGTATTTCTTTCTCTTTTTAAAAAAATTTTTTGTAGTGGTGTATAGACAGAATGCCTTTATTTTATTTATTTTGATGTGGTGCTGAGGATCAAACCCAGTGCCTCACATGGGCTAGGCAAGTGCTCTACACTGAGCCACAACCCCAGCCCAAATGACCTTTATTTTATTTTAAATATTTATTTTTTAGTTATAGGTGGACACAATATCTTTATCTTATATTTATGAGCGAGGGATCGAACCCTGTGCTTCATGCATGGTAGATGAGCATTCTGCCTCTGAGCCACAACCCAGCCCTGGTCTTAATTTTAATTTAGAAGATATACATGTTAGGGCTGGAGCTGGAGCTCAGTGGCAGAGCACTTGCCTAGCATTTGTGAGGCTCTCGGTTCGATCCTTAGCACCATATAAAAATAAACAAATAAAATAGAGGCATTGTATCCATCTATAACTAAAAATATATATATAATTAAGATCATTCATAATGACAGCTTAGATAGCTTTTTAGAGCATCTAGGTTTTGGTTTTGATTTGAGGTTTTTTGTTAAGGACACCTTTTGTAAATTAGTAAACACAACTGCAGTCTATATTGCAGATCCCCAGAATTGGACTACTATTACCATTGAAAATGCTTCTAAGGCAACAACTTGAATAGTAAAAGTTGGTCCTTGATTCCAATGGTTAAAAGCACAGTAGTAATTATGCCATCCTACAATTTAACCAGTTAAACCAAATAAGCAGTAACATGACATTTAGCCATCAACTCTTTAGATTGTGAAGTCCTAGAATTTACCATTACACTGAAATTTCAAGCAATTTTAACCCTGTGTTACACCTATCCCTAAAGGAAAGTTAAAAGCAATTAAAATAATCCAATTTCACTACATATTATACATTATGCTTGAAATGCAATGTACTCATATTATTACACAATGTTGAAGAGGCAAAGATATGGCCTGTTTTCTGGGCAATAGGTGGGCTACCTAGGATCCTTAAAGCAAGATACTCTTCCAAAATAGCCAATCTTTGTTTTCTTTCAACAACACTTCGTATCATAAACCAAAATGATTTTGTCTTTAGAAAATCCACGTGTCATTCTGGGGTGCAAGGTGGTGCTTTAAAAAAAAAAAAAAAAAAAAAAAAAAAAAACAGGTGCAAGGTTTGGATCCCTGGAGACCAGGACACTCCATATCCCTGTCCTATTCAGCCCCAGCTCTAATTGTGACCTTGGGAAATATCCCAGGATCTGGGACTCGGTTTCTCTTTTTAATTATGAGGGCTAAATTATAAATGAGTGGGGATGGGACCAGCCCTCAGTCACCGTAGACAACCGGGTTGAATCTCGCTCCAGGTACACGCTGATCCTCGGCCTTGCTTGTGGCCCCAGCTCTCCCCAAGCGCTCAGCCATCGGCTTGCTAGTAGCATTGTTCCCGGTTCCCCGCCATGGGTACCCCAGGATTTGCACGGCGCTTCCCTCTTTGTGCCTTGCTGCCATGAAGGGACCTTGTGATCGTCCTCCCATCAGCTAAGAAACGATCCATCTACCCTTTATTTTCATCTTGATCTTTCTCCCCTCAGAGGACCCCTGACACCGCTACACTCCAAAGACCCCCGCCGGGGCTCTGCCACGAGACCCCCCTCCTTCCCTCCCTTCAGGAGAACTTCCCTTTACACCGCCTTCGCCACCGAAGGAGCCTTCTAGTCTCACAGCCCCGTTCTTCCTCAAACTCTCACGGATTTCCATCCGGCTGCCTTTTGCGGAGCTCCAAAGGAGCCTCAGCTCTCTTCAGAAATAAAGCCTCCCCCACCTCCGCCATCGGGTTCTGGGGACCCCTCTCACCTCCACGGTGAGAGATGTGTTTACTGAGGAATCGCTGCTTCTTTCTCTGGTGCAGCAAAGTCGGGTATTTAAGCAACAAGAATGAGGTCACCAAGTACCCTCCTAGGGTGGAGAGAAGGTAAAAAGCCGCAGTGGACGACATCTCAGTCACCGTGTGGGAAGTCACCCACCTCCGGGGCCTCTGAACCCCGCTGCTGCGATCGCAACGGCTGCGGCGGCGGCGGCGGCTGCTCGAGGTCTGCTCGCCCCCAGCTGGTGCCAAGGGTGTAGCGCAGTTGTTCGTGTCAGCCCACCACGCAGGCGCAGCCCGACCCTATCGTCGGGGCAACAAAGGGGCTCCCACACGCAGGCGCGCTCCGGCTGGCAGGTACGAAAGGGCCTGCGAAGGTCCTTCGACCAGCGTCAAGCACCTAGCAGGTGGCGGAACGTGCAGAGATTTGAAGACGCTTCCTACTGAGGCAAAAACTTGGAAACCTGCCAGCTTTTTTTTTTTTTTTGGCCTTAGCTAGAACTAAAAAGGTTGTTCAAAGGGGATCCTCAGGAAACTGACCTATTTGGAAAATCTACATCAAAAGGGAAAGATTCCAGGGCGCCGTCTTAGCCCCTCCTCAAGGAAATGCAATGAATTGTTATCGATTCCTTGTGGGTACTCAAGAAATACTTGTTGATCTGCAAATTCTTTTAAAATAACGAAATTTAGGGCGGAGGATATAGCTCAATGGTAGAGCGCAGCTAGCACAAAGCCCTGGGTTCAAGACCCAGAATCCCCCCAAAATAAAACTTTGGCAAGGTTTTACCACTTCCTAGAAAGGCTGGAATTAAATTCCACAAGGCTCCTACTAGTTTCCTTTACATTTGAAAGACCCCCGTTTCCCTGTCCAAGGAGAATCACACGAAACACTGGCTGCAAAAGCAAGAGGGGTTTATTGAGACACAGGCGCCTGTGGGTGCCCAGCAGAACCTCAGCCGGAGCTTTGGTGAGCTGGCACACCGGGCTTGGGGATACAGAGATTTTTATAGGGTAAAGGGGCAGTTTAAACAATAGGTTAATTTTAAACCCAGCATATAGGCTACCTAAAGGGCAAAGTTGTTTTTCACTGTATGTTACTGAAAAAGAACCACATAAAAGCTACATATTTGCACTCTGGTCCTCCTGTCCCTGCTCATTCAGGCATGCCTTGGGACCTGGTCCTTTGTCCTTTCCCAACTGGTTACACCTAACTAATTATCTGAAAAACACCTCTGGTGCCTGCGTAGGTTTGTGACATGCCTCGGTGGTTTTGCAACTAGGCCTGACGTTGTTGGGCTGGGGTCTTTCACATTCTACACATTCCAAACTACTAAAACACGAATAGCAACATTTCAATGCAAAACAATTCAAAGCCCAGGGTTTTGTTGTTTTATTTTTTACTTTTCAAGCTCCTGGGGTCAAGCAGTCCTCCTGTAGCTGGGACTACAGGCAAGTGCCACTGAACCCAGATACTCCTGTCTTGTTTGTTTTGGTACCAGGAAATGAACCCAGGGGCCCTTAACCTCTGAGCCACTCTGAGCCACATCCCCAGGCCTTTTTATTTTAATTTTTTAATTTTGAGACACGGTCTCGCCAAGTTGCTTAGGGCCTGGTAAAGTTACTGAGGCTGGCTTTGAATTTGCGATACTCCTGCCTCAACCTCCCAAGCCCATCCTACATATTTACATATATATTATATAGAAATACATACATACACACATATATACATATATAAATAATAACAGCTTTAAAAGTAGCAAGATGTGTTAAATACTATTATTTTATACATGTTGAAACTAAAATAGACAATTCTATTGGTCCTGCATTTCAAAATCAACGTGTCTAGGAAAAGATAATTACACTAAAGTTTTGGTAGTCTTTCATATAGTTACTGGTAACATGTCACCAATTAGATGGTGATGTGATGGTAAATCACCATTTGATGCTGGTACAAGTTACCATGCACTGATAAGATTAGTATCACTTAGCCAATTGTTTCACTGTATAGGAATTTTAGAAGAATATCATGCAATAATATCTTGGATTAAAGTGTTAAATCTTGTGAAGTAGCTCAAGTCTATAATCCCAGTCACCTTGGAGGCTGAAACAAAAGGATTCGACCTGTCTCTAAAAGTGGGAAGAGGGGAGGGCAGCTGGGGATGTAGTTCAGTGGTAAAGATCCCCTGGGATCAAGTCCCAGTACCCCCACCCCCCAAAATTAAAAGTTTAGTTAGATAACATTAATTTGAAATATGGTATTGGGAGAGGGGAGGCTGGAGATGAGGCTCAATAGTACAGGTTTAGCTTCCTAGCTTGCAGGTCTTGTGTTCCATCACCCAAATCAGAAAGAAAGGGCGGGGGGGGGGAATCTTATCAGTCTAAGAATGAAATAATAAGAACAAAAAAATCTAATTAGGTATTAGAATTATGAGACAAACAAATGTGTTGTTTTTGCAATCAGTCTTCATATCGTGGATCACCTAACTTTATTATTTATTTATTTATTTGCAGCACTGGGGATCAAACCCAGGGCCTCCTACATGCCAGGAAAATGATCTACAATTCAGCCACATCCCCAATTCCCCAGTTCTTATTTTGGAAATAATTTCTGGAAATTTTTTTTTCCTGGAGCAGTGTCTTAAGGATAATCCTGGTTAAAATATAATTTTAGCAAAAACAGTTTTGGCTCAACATGGTTATGCAATATTCAGTTATGATAGAAATATGTATTATCATGGACAGTGAAACAGAAACAAGAGAAAACAGAGGTATCAACATGTATTTTATGGCTTTTTTCTAGAACATCAAATTTTTATTAGCAAGAATAACCCCATTTAAAATAAATATCAACAAAATAACGAAACAGTAGAACAATTATTGTCCAAATACTGAACTCCTATAACCAAAACAGTTTGGGATTTGGAAACAGTGTACACATACTTAAAAAAGAATTCCCCACATAGTAAAAACAAAACCAGCTTAAGTTTAGGACTGAACTGGCTGGAAAATTCTTATTGTGTCACTGCTTTAAGAACCCCACGGAGCACCTTATAGCTCATTAACTGCACATTTTCCTTAGGAGGGAAACAAGGTCCTCTCTCAGTCACATATGCATAAGGAAATCTCAAAACCCAAAGGCCATCTGGTGGGAGGGTGATTTCTTGTTTTTCTGGATAAAATACTGGACATGGTGGTGGACCTGGTTGAACCTGAAAAACATAAGTAATATAATTATTTTTTGTTTCTCAAGAAACACCAAAAAGATAAGTACTTCCAACAAATGATAGGTTCAAAGAGTATGTAAGAGGCAGATGTAGATGCATATGCTGATACACCCCTGTTATCGCAGTTATGCAGAAGTTTGGGTCAGGGTAGCAAATTTGAGTCCAGTCTCAGTAACCTAGTAAGACCATGCCTCAAAATCAAAGTTTCAGCCTGGTGCAGCGGCACATGCCTTTAATCCTAGCAGCTTGGGAGGCTAAGACAGAAGGATACCAAGTTCAAAGCCAGCCTCAATAAAAGTGAGGTGCTAAGCAACTCAGTGAGACCCCTGTCTCTTAAATAAAATACAAAATAAAGCTGGAGAATATGGCTCAGTGGGTTGAGTACCCCTGAGTACATTCCCCAGCACTGCCCTCCCCCAACACACATACACAAAAAGTTGAGAAACAAAGTGTCATCCCTGTCCTCTCTGAGGGCCTACTCACTCCCTTGAGGGTGCCCCCATCGATTACTTTCTTCTTTCTTTCTAATAAACTTAGATGTACTTTTTAAGTCTTATATTTTGCTTGAAATCCCCTAATGCAAGAGCACAAGAGGGAGAATACACTTCAATCTCTGGTAAAATCTTATTGCTCTCCATTATCACATATAAGAGTAGGCAGAAAGGAGCTGGGATTAGTGGTAGAGTACATGCTTAACGTGTGCAAGGCCCTGGGTTTAGCTCCGAGCACACACACCTAATAAATAAATAAAAAGAGATTAAGCAGATATGAGTACACACCTAATTCATATTTAATATTACATTATTTATTCTCAAATATTATCCTGATTTTTCTACTGAGTTTTTAACTTCAAGCTCTATTTTTGAACCAAATTATGTGAACTAATGGAATAAACTAATTGAAATACCTAGCATTTTCCAGTTTTCATAAGGATGGATAAAATAAAATGCCACAATTTCTATTTTTAATTTTTTTTCTTTTTAAAAGAAAAGGTTTCATTCATTATGTTGTCTTGGCTGGCTCCAAACTCCTAGGTTCGGGTGATTCTCTTGCCTCAGCCTCCCTAGTAGGTACAGGCATGATCTATTCTGCTGGGCTCCCACAATTTCTCTTTTAAGAAACAGAATATCAGGACTGGAATTGTGGCTCAGTGGTAAAGTGCTTGCCTAGCACATGTAAGACCCTAGGTTTAATCCTCAGCACCACATAAAAATAAATTAGGACTGGGGCTGTGGCTCAAAAGTAGCACACTTGCCTGGCATGGGTGAGGCACTGGGTTTGATTCTCGGCACCACAAATAAATAAATAAAATAAATATATAAAGGTCTATCAACAATTTAAAAATATATATATTTATATTTTTATTTATATATATATTTATTTATATTTAGTTAATTTTTTAATTAACTAAATAAATGTATTGTGTCCATTACAACTAAAAATTAAAAAACAAAAAAGAAACAAAATATTAAGCCAAGCAAGGTGGCACATACCTGTAACCCCAATAACTCAGCAGGCTAAGGCAGGAGGATCACAAGTTCAAGGCCAGCCTCAGCAACTTAGCAACATCCTAAGCAACTTAGGAAGATTCTGTCTCAAAATAAAAACTAAAATGGACTGGGGATATAGCTTAGTTGTAAAGCTCCCCTGGGTTCAATCCCAGTATTAAAAAAAAAAAGGTAAAAAAGGTACTTATATTTAAAATATGTGTTTAATGAAATAATTTTGATATTATATAGTAGTTTTAAAAAAATAATCAAAACAAGCATCAATATTTTTTTTTTTTTTTGAGGGCAGGGAGGGTTGCACTTCTTACCTGAGGCATTAGTATTATCTGCAAAGGAGCATCAGGAACCACAACAAAAAGCCTCATAAGTTGAGCATAATGTGGTTTTAGCCCTCTACCCTGAGATGATGACAGAATATATAAGGGCATATCACTATTTAGGGCTTTTAAAGCTGACTCCTTTGGCCCACTACCCATCACTTTCATTATTTTGTCAGGTCCCGAGCACATGAATC